AAACCACCTTCACCCCGGACTAACCCTAACCCACACTGACCTTGCAGTGTGACAGTCCTTGGGGTGTGACTGACCCTGCAGTGTGACTGACCTTGGGGCGTGATTGACCTTTCAGTGTGACAAACCTTGCAGTGTCACTGACCTTGCAGTGTGATTGACCTTTCAGTGTGACAGACCTTTCAGTGTGACTGACCTTCCAGTGTGGCTGACCCTGCATTGTGACTGACCCTGTAGTGTGACTGACCCTGCAATGTGACTGACCTCAGAGGGTGACTGACCTTCCAGTGTGACTGACCTCGGGGTGTGACTGACCTCGGGGTGTGACTGACCTTCCAGTGTGACTGACCCTGCAGTGTGACTGACCTCAGAGGGTGACTGACCTCCGGGTGTGACAGACCTTGCCGTGGTGCCCCCACTGAGCTGCGGCTCTGCCTCCACTCAGCCTCCCAGGAACGAGCGGGAGGCTCGGATTTGCCTCGCAAGGACGAGGCAGGGTGTGGAGCACCCCCCTCCCTGCATCCCATCCCCATCCCCCGAGAAACAGCATCCCATCCCTGCCAGGAACACCAGCCCCGTGCCCTTGAGGGCCCCTCTGGAGGAGCCAGCCGGGAAGGACCTGCCATCCGATCCCTGTGGGAAGGGGGGTGCTGAAGCCTGAATTGGCTGAGCTGAGCCCGCAGCAGCCCTTGCCCGGAGCAGTGCCGTCCCTCTCCGGGGGTGGGATCCTGTCCTTGCTCCTGCCAGGAGAAGAACAAAGCCATGAGGGAAAATCTCCCCATCCTCCCGCTCGTCGTGCTGTAGTCGTGCTGTGCTCGGTTGAGTGTTCCTCCCCTCCTGTGCTGTCCCCGTGCCATGGTACTGTTATAACCGGTGGAATAAATACCAGGAGATGTCTATGCATTTACTTTTCTCCCCCAGCTCTGCTTCCCTGGGCAAATTTTTCTGGTTTTGGGGAAAAAATATTCATATTTTCCTGGCAGCAGAATCCCAAAGAAAGGTCCTCTCCTGGCTGCGCTCACATTTGGGACTAAGGAGATGCTACAAGCAGCTCATTGGCTGCAGTCAGGTTTAAAGCAAACAAAATTCCCATTTTTCTGCAGGCTTTTTTGGCTATTTTAATACAAAACCTTCAGAACTCTGAGTCTCAGGGGCACTGCAGGATGCCCAGCACACTGCTCCAAGCAAGGACACTCTGCAGGGATGGGCCCGAGCTTGTGCAGGTGTGACCCAGCCCTGGTGGCATCCCGGCAGGCAGGGGGCTCCTGTGGTGAGGCTTCCTGGAAAAACTTGGCATGGGCTGGGAATTCATCGCTCCAAATCCCGTGGGAGCTGATGAGCTGCAGTTTGGTTTTGCGAGGAAGGATGTGTCACCCAGGAAAACACAGGAGACGGTGCTGGGAAACTGATTTATCATCATCATCATTATTTTATTTTATTTTATTTTATTTTATTTTATTTTATTTTATTTTATTTTATTTTATTTTATTTATTATTATTACTATTGGTGCTGGATCAACCCGTGCTGCACCAAGGGATTCCTTTCTGCCCCCAGCCCCCTGATAATCCTGTGCCAGGTCCAGGTCGTTCTGGGAAACTCCTGATGACCGTTCCCAAGAGGACAGACAGACAGACAGACAGACAGACAGAGGCAGCTCAGGCGTGGACACACATCCTCCCAGCCCTCCAGCCCCGGGAGCAGGGGATTCCAGCAGCTCCAGGGATGTGTGCTCCCATCAGATCCCCAACCCAGCGCTGGGAGCAGCGAGAGGGGAGATTGGCAGGAGCAGCTTCAGCTCTGCGAGGAGATCATACCTGATGAGGATCAGCCCGAGCTGATCTAATCCCCACCAGGAAAGGGAGAGCAGGGAGCGGGCACGGCCCCAGCCCAGCCCTCGCTGCTCAAATCCCAGCGCCGAGGCTCAGCCCGAGGGAGAGAGCGGGATCCGAACCGGGGCGGGGACCACGGCGCTGGGGTGGAGTGAGAGGTCAGGATGGAGGGAGGAGAGGCTGGGATAGAAGCAGGAGAGGCTGGGATGGAGGAAGGAGAGGTTGGGATGGAGGGATGAGAGGTTGGGATGGAGGAACGAGAGGATGGGATGGAGGGAGGACGGGCTGGGAGGGAGGGATGAGGCCGGGATGGGGGCAGCAGGGGCAGGATCCTCCTCCTGCCTTTTCCCTGCCTACCAAGGATGCATCAATGCCAATCCCTCGGGAGAGCAGGATCCCAGCCGGAGCAGGGAACCACGGGGCTGGGATGCAGGGAGGAGATGCTGGGATGGAGGGAGGAGAGGCTGGGATGGGAATGAGAGGTCGGGATGGAGGGAGGAGAGGATGGGATGGAGGAAGGAGAGGCTGGGATGGGAGTGAGAGGTTGGGATGGAGGGATGAAAGGGCGGGATGGGGGTAAGAGGTCGGGATAGAGGAAGGAGGGGCTGGAATTGGGGGATGAGGCTGGGATGGAGGGATGACGCCGGGATGGGGGCAGCAGGGGCAGGCTCCCCCTCCTGCCTTTTCCCTGCCCACCAAGGATGCATCAATGCCCGTCCCTCGGGAGAGC